ACATAGATTGTATGTCTTTTATTTTAAAAAATCTGCAGTAAAAATGTTTTATTAAAAGACGAATATATAGTATATATTTAACATACAGCTTCCTTTAATGTTTTTACAATGTTGTTCTTTTTTATTTTTTTATTTTATTTTATTTTTTGATAATTGGCAAAAATGATTCAAATGACTGCTTAATTTGGGTGCATTAATATTTTTCGGAACTTCCCAAAACGTTTACTTTCTATATACTGTTAACAGTTTTGTCTCTGTACTTGTTATTTGTTCAAGTTTGTCATTGTATCTATCAATATCCAATTTTATAGAACATAGTACATATAAAATCCTTCAGTCTATCTCTTTGCAAACTACAGTGTCCAGTTCGTTCTATTAAACAATATGTTTATTGACGTCAGTTTGGAACACGGTCATTGTGCATGTGCACTTTCGAAACTGATTGGTGTAATTTTCTATTTAACAAATATCTTTCATCATTCTTTCATGTTTTTTTCTGAACAAATGCATGAGATTTAATCCTTTTTATTTTTCCTAATTTGATTGTTTTTCAAACATTTTAGCTCCCTGGCTTGATTCCAAAAGAATAGTTTAATTATTACAAACCTTAGATTTTAATTGAAAGCATAACATTTGCATTTTGATGTTTCAAATTTTTATGTTTCAAAAAAAAAATATGGCATGTAAGTATATTAATTTTGTTAACTTTCTACTATCTTTTTAAGACAGAAAGTAAGTGAGCTGTCGTGATGTGACATTGTCTATAATATTTACATGTATTTTTGTTTTTCAATAAAAGTTTAAAGTACTTCATCTTTTTTTCGTTTTGATGTAACCTTAAAGTACACATTATGTTACAAAATCCGATTTGTCATAAACAAGGTACATTTTTGCTGAATCAATCAATGAACTGCCGTTATGCAATTATGATATTGTCTATATTTTCTATCATTAAAAAAAACAATTAAAGTTTACCTGTACTCAGCCTTAAACTTAAAGTACATATTCTTATATAAAGTTTGATAAAGTATAAAGACAGGTAATTAACAATCATATATCATTATTACCTAAACAATTGTCATCTTCATACAACAATGAGCTGTAAATTTGTGTTTTTGGTTTTAGGAGTATGCCTACTTGTAAGTGTATTTGCACTTGATCACAGTAAGTATATTTGTCTATGTCTTTACATTTTTTCTAGACATGATAATCTTAAGGTAAAATACAGTTTTATTATCATTTTCAATAATATGTCAAAATTATACTCTGATGTTTTACTTTTTTCTACTATATAATTTATTTTATTCTATATTAAAAATAATGATCTCTTTCATATGTTTAACGACAACGATTCATAATGATATGTTTGTCGTACTTTAAAGGCCCATTATGCACCAGAATTGATTTTTTTTATTGACTCAAAAGCTTTTTATTTTTATGTACTTTTATAATTTCACAAAGTAACCCATTGACCAATTACCCGAACCATATTTTCCTTACTTAGTTTCCATTTTGCTTCTTTAATTACAAATTATTTTCTTAGTTTCTTCAAGTAACAATCATTTTACATGCAACCATTTTTTAATACAATGTATATTCTAAAACATATATCTGTTATTTCAAAAGAAGTTAATATTTATTCGTTTCTGAAACATAATGTGCCTTAAAAAGCAACTTTAATTTCAATGAAGTTAACAAGTTGCACAGTGTACTATTGCTGTCTACTAGACTGATATAGCCGTCCTACTAACAGTGAATCGGGACAATAAATGATTGCAAGAATAATTGATTTAACTGGCATTCTTATCATTAAAGAGGATGTTATTTTCACCTCAGTTGTTTTTGAAGTATATTACACGTGAATTTCAAGATCTATCTGTTTTATATGTATCCGGTTATATTTAAAAACATCCCTAGCAAATGTCAAATAGACCGCCTCCGTGGCCGAAGGGTTAGAGTCGATGACTGCTAATCCAGTTACCTCTCTGGCGTGGGTTCGATCCAATTGCTAAACTGCATATGTGCTTAATGCAACGGATAACCTGAATCAAGAAAACGGTGGTGAAATGGTTGGCTCCTGACAATGGTGCTTTTTATGAAAACCTTATAAACTATAGACTATTTTCAAAACAAACAAATCTTCTATCAAAAAATAGGCCATGGGGCCATGACACCCGGACCTTACTCTGCTGTTTTCTTAGGGTAAAAGCTTCGCGAATTATATGTTTTAAAGAAGAAAGAAATAAACTAATGTCGGGCTTATCTGCAATAAAATCAGTCGAATAGTATCGTAATAAATGGCTCAAGGCAATAAGTGTTTTTTTATTTTTTTTATTCTTACACTTTATATGCAGAAGGTACGCAATTTTACTTCAAATATTTCTATACATTTATTTAATATAATATTCTTTATGATTTATTGAGACAAACAAAAAATTTGGATACATTTGATAACATTTATAAATTAAATGATGTGACCGCTAGAGTGTTATCGAACAAAGGTGGACCGACGACGGACATTCAACGATCCTTAAAGCTCACCATGAGCAAGCTCAGGTGAGCTAAAAAGAGGTATAGTTTCACTTTGCAAAAATTACCCTTACTGTGTTAGTAACGCAGAAGAAATATTGTTATAAAAACTGAAAAATTTGTCAAATATCGCACAAAATTATTACTTGAATCTTGAATCTTTTTCTAAAATATTAGATAATTGTTCTCAAGTTTGATTTTATTGTATATAGTAATTTAGATTTTCTTTTTTAATATAAATATACAAAGTTTCGACTTAAAAGTCTTCATCAGGTATGCTTTGTTTACAGGAAATGACGTCAAAATACTAATCTAACGCATAATTCGACTGACATTGCTAGGACATGTCAGGCTTGCAAAAGTAACAATAACTAATAAGGTACATCCACAGAACGTACAGTAATCATTATCTTACTTGAACAGATTAAAATAAACCGAGCCTGTCATTTACATTTATTCTTGTAAATTTCATCTTTTCTTCTCCAGAATTTTTACATTATTATTATTATGAAGCAACATAAGTTGTTTACAATACCTCCCAATATGTTGTCACTGGTTTCCTAGAAGTCACAAAAAATAAAATAGAAAATATGTTTCCCAATATATAACAGTACATAAAACAGATATAATAATTTGCGCAAATATGAATGAATTGATATTAAAAAAAGTTTTGATCAATAGGACAGTTTATATTTTCATAGATGCGCCTACCTACACAATACAAACATATTTGCACAGATTTGCATATTTGCATATTTCCACACGTGTGGAATAAAGTGTCGAACAACTGCATATGTATATAGTAGTTATATATTAGTAAGCAATAGCTATGTTAATATTTGCTCAAGATTGTTAGAATTTCTGCCAATGTAAGTACAATCAAATCAACAAGCAATATCATAACAATCAAGAAATATCTTTTTAAAAAAACATGCCTGGCCATTGTAAACTTGTTAGATCATCTTTTTTTGCGAAACATGCTGTGTTGATATTTTGTTTTCATCTATACAATCATACAATTTATATATTTATTAAAGATATAATATGCTAAAATTTGTTATTTAATAATATTGATAATTGCTACACGGTCTCTTTTGTAAATATGAAATAAACATGTTTTGACTTTAAGCTAAATATATATGTTTGCTACAAAAATCACTCACACTTAAAGTGGACATATATAGAGTAGTATTAAAAAACTGGCATTTTTTTTTAAAGAAAGGACTCGTTTTACTTTACCCGGATTCTCATACATTCATACATTGATTGTACGTTCTTTCATTTCAATTAAACATATTCTATAAGAGTTTAATATATTTCAATAAATTTCTGCAATAAAAATGTTTTATTCAAAGATGGGCATACTTTATATATAAACCTACAGCTCCCTCTAGTGTTTCTAAGGTAAAACATGGTATAAATATGCTATACTTTTCAAATATGAAAATTGCTTCTGAATAAGTCAGGTTAAAAAAATTATGAAGATTATTTAGGCATATAAACATGCAAATTGAAAATGATAAGTCTGAACAAACTTGAACAATCTCAGTATTGAATTTTTAATAAAAATAATTTTTATCATTTACCAATTTTGTTCTTTGTTCTTATTTTTTTTATTTATTTTTTTTTTTTGCATAATCGGCCAATATGTTTCAAATAACTCTTTAATGATAATTTTGAATTGGGAGCATTATTATTTTTCGGAACTTCCCAAAAAGTTTACTTTCTCTATACCGCTAACAGTTTTGTCTCTGTACTAGTTATTTCTTCAAGTTTTCATATCACTGCCGGTCATTGTATCTATTACAAACCAAGTACATATAAAAGCCTCCAGTCTTTCTCTTTGCAAACTACGGTGTCCAGATTGGTCTATTATTTTTTGTATATCGATGTCAGATTGGAACACGGTCATTGCGCATGTGCGCTTTCAAACCTGATTGGGGTAATTTTCTATTTAGCATATAGCTTTCATCCTTCTTTCATATTTTTTTCATGAACAAATGCATGAGCATGTAATCCTTTTATTTCCTAAATTGGATGTTTATCAAACATAATAGCACCCTGGCTTGATTCCAAAAAGAATTGTATGATTATTATAAACCTTTCCACTTTTTATGTTTCAACATAAAGTACCACATATAAGTTTATCAATTTTGTTGACTGTAATCTATATTATTAAGAAAGAAAGTAAGTGAGCTGTCGTTGGGCATTGTCTATAATATTTACATATATTTCTGTTTTCAATAGCAATAAAAGTTTAAAGTACTTCATATTTTTTCGTTTTGATGTAATCTTAAAGTACACAACATGTTACAAAATCCGTTTTTTATACACAAGTAACAATAAACTGATGCATTCAGTGGATAGCTGCCCTGTGACATCATCTATAGTTTACCTGTATTCTAGCTTTTATTTGCTTTTATTGCGTTTTGATTTTAACTTAAAGTACATATTCTGATACAATATTTGATAAAGTATAAATGCAGTTAATTAACAATCATTAATCATTATTATGTAAACGATCTTCATATCTACAACATTGAAACAGCAATGAGTTGTAAATTGGTGATTTTGATTTTAGGAGTATGCCTAATTGCAAGTGTATTTGCACTCGACCACAGTATGTATGACTATTCAATACATTTTAATATCGACATGATAGAAATGATTTATATAAAATATAATTTTATTATTGTTTTCAATAATACGTCAAAATTATACTCTCGGATGTTAAACTTATTTTCTACTATACCATGTATTTCATTTCTATATTTAAAATAATGATCTTTTGTATATGTATAATGACAACGATCAATTATGATGTGTCTGTCGTACTTTTAAGGGCCATTATTCTCAAAAACTTTTTTTTGTATTTTTATGTACATCTATAGTTTCAAAAAGTAACTCATGGCCCAATAACCTAAACCATAGTTTTCCTTCTGTAGCGTTTAAGCTGTTAATACAATTGCAGTGATTTGCATTTTGTATGTAAGTCAAAATACTACTTTTTTAAATTTAGCTTCTTTTATGACACGTTATTTTACATTTATCCTTAGTTTATTCAAGTAACAAGCATTTGTCATGCTATTAAACCATTGCCTTATACGTTCTAAAACTCGTGTGTGCTAATTTAAAAGAATTAAATATTAATTCGTTTATAAAGCTAACATACCTCAAAAGGCAACTTTTCAATGAATTTAACAAGTTGCACAGTGTACTATTCGCTGTCTACAAGACTGATATACCCGTCCTACTAACAGTACTATTAATGTGTGAATCGGGGCAATAAAAGATTGCACGAATAATTGATTTTATTGGTATTATTTATCATTATTTGTGGCTTGAGAATGTTATCTTCACTTCTGTTGTTCTTTGAAGCACACTTTACTGAATTTCAAGATCCATCTGTTTTATACGTATCCTGTTAGTTTTAAAAACATCACTAGCAAATGTCAAATGTCTTGTTTATAAAGTGTTAACTAAATGTGAATTATTCTTGGAAGCAGATCGAAAAGATAATAATTAGACCTATATTCAACATTGACATGTACAAATTGTTGTGCCAGTCGCTGTCAACATATAATTGATCAGACAATAGATAAATATTGACTTTATTATCTTAAAGTTTTGAAGTTTTGGTTAAAAAATAAACTTTTGCTCTTTTGCTATTTTCATATACTCAATTATTTTACCAGGGAAGAGCGATAAATTAAATCAAGCAAATGCTGGAGCACCCGGGCAACAAGTACAAGGGAACTCGGACGACGATACACGTAAAAAGGGGTAAAAAACCTTGATGACAAAATGTAATATTAATCAAGAATCATTTGCAAGTTAAAACAGTTCTTTTTCATGAATTTTCTGATGCATGAGTTTTGTTATGCAGAACTAATTTATGCACTTAATTCAGCTGACTTTATAGTTTAGCTACTTTTGTTGTTTGTGTATTTTTTTCATAAAGATTATGACAAAAGAGCTAGGACAAAAAGTCTTAATCATAAGGAACACATGAATCATGTGTATTCGGTAAAGGCGCGAAATAGAGACTCAGTAAATTAACAGCCCTCTGCGGTAAGCTTTTCGTTAATTTTAAGTTTTCATTATGCAAAAATAATGATTGCATACTTGTGTCGAAGATGATATTTTATATGTTTTCAGAAAAATCATTTCGGATGTACAGTTTGGTGGTTGATATGAGAACTTTAAATGGCACTTGTGTTCATATGAATTGTATGAAATATGAATAAAGTATTGAGAATATAATTATTATGATTTATGTCTCATTTTATATACCATTGTATGCATGGGAATGTTTTAGACAGAGCGTATTATCGGTTCAAACCGATTTCTGTAAAGGTTTGTGAAAAATACAGATAAGATTTATTTCTGTATTAAGCAATAACAGGATGAAACAAATCCATTATATCATTAAACAATGATTTTGAAACATGTAAAATATAATGTTTCATATTAACATTTGGAGCTCTGGAAATTAAATCAAGACTATAATAATAAAAAATCGACCATGCCATACCGGCCTCTTGTGGCCGTTGTCAGACGGTAAGATCTTGGCACCGTTTATTGTTGTGAAGAAGATACTCAAATAAATGCAATTGCTAAACTGCATGGAAATGAGATGACAGGTGATTAATGCAATGGTAAATCTTCAACTGAATTTAACAAACGGTAATGAAACGGATGGCTCTGGACGATGGTGTTTTTTATAAAAAAAATCTGAGACTTTATAAACTATAGACTAAATTCAAAAAGAACAAATCTATAATAAAAAAATAGGCCATGACACCCGGGCCTTTCGCTGTTGTTTCATTAGGTTAAGAGCCTTGCGAGTTATACTGTTGAAGAGAGGGGAAAAAATAAAGCTAATGCAAAAGGCTAATCTGCAATTAAATCAGACGAACAGTATCAGTATTCTAATAGTTGTCTCCAGAAAATAGCGTTTTTCAAACGAAAAATAATTTACACTTTATGTGCAGAAGGAAAGCAAATAAAATACAATAATTTTTTTTTACATTTATTGTACAATTATATTCGCTATGATTTATTGAGAAAAAAGGAAAAAGTTGGATACATATATTTCTATTTGCATGTTTACTGAATATACATAAGTTTATTTAGATGATAAATAAAATGTATGTTTTTAAAATTCAATGGATATAATAATCAACATTTATCAACATTTATCCCGGGATCTTTCCTTCTCCAGATTTTTTACATACTTTGCTTACAAGACCCCCCAATATGTTGTCAGCGGTTTCCTAGAAGTAACAAAAAATAAAATCGAACATATGTTTGCGAACAACATATAACAGTGCATAAAACAGATATAATTATTGCGCATGTATGAATGAATTAATATAAAAATGTTTTGATCAATAGGACAGTTGATATATGCACAGATTTTTATAGATGTACCTACTTACACAAAAAAGGCATATTGTGCATATAGGTCTGATCTACACATATGGAATTATGTGTCGAACAATTTCCTATGTAATTTGTAGTATATATTAGTAAGCAATAGCTATGTTATTATTTTTTTCAAGATTGTTAGACTTTCTGTCAATGTTAGTACAATTAAATCAACAGGCAATATCATAACAATCAAGAAATATAAAAAGGGATATGCCTGGCCTTTGTAAACTTGTTAGATCATCTTTTTGTGAAACTTGCTGTGTGGATCGTTTGTTTTCATCTATACAATGATATAATTTATACAGTATACATATTACGGTATTTATTAAAGATATACTGCTAAAATGCTCAGATTTGTTATTTAAAAATATTCATAATTGATACACAGTCTTTTTGTAAATATAAAAAAACATGTTTTGACATCAAACAAAGTACATATGCTTGGTAAAATCCTTCATACTTTAATTGGACACGTATGAAATAGCCTTAATTATACTATGTTAATCGACGTCAGTTTGGAACACGGTCATTGCGCATGAGCGCTTTCGAAACTGGTTGGTGTAATTTTTCTATTTAGCATATATCTTTCAGCCTTCTTTCATGTTTTTTTTTTTTTTGTTTTTTTTTTTGTTTGTTTTTTTTAAAATTCAGAATTGAAAAGCACACTTAATAGAACAACTATAATATCAACTAAGATGAGTAAATACGGTAATAATAAAATGTAAAATAAACGGTAATAATTGCCAATAATGTAGCCAAAAAGAAATATTCAAATCCCGGACGAGCCCCCAATTTCTGTTACGAGCCAGGCGTAACTAGAAAGAAAAGCCAGCAACAAACTTGTAACAATATAACAAATTTATTACAGAAAAATTATTAAAGAAAAATAAAATAACAAATTATGTTTACAAATACTTGAAGTCCAAATAAAAATGTAAATTACAAATGTCTAGTCTGATCCTGGAATGATCCCTTTTGAATAGCACAGTTAAATCCAAGTTAAATCCAAGAACACTTTAGAATAAATTCCCACAATAAAATCCACAAGAATAATTTTAACTATTTTAAAATAATCCAAGCTCCAATAAATCACTTAATTTCCAAGTTGAATAATACTCCAAGGTAACTGATGACTTAAAAGATCACTGATGACTTAAAAGGTAAGGGTAATGAAAAATGTCTCCTTATATATATTAACTAAGAAGTTTCTAGAATAGTCTTCCATTTACTACAGTAATCATAATCTAGCAACTTCACCAATAAAGATCATTCCAGAAATTTCTATCTAAATATAATGCATGAGTTTTCTACAACAGTTAAGAACGTTCTAGTACATACATGTAGTTTATGTTTTAAAAATAGAACAATGATAATATTGGAAATACCAAATGGTCAGATATAAATTATATACATGTAACATGTTGCATACATAACACTTCCCCTCTTCAAGAAAAAGAAATATGAATGAAATGAATATTTCTTTTACATAAATCCAAACAATGTAACTTACGAATAATGTAGGAGAAATGTTAAACAATTTTATACATAAAATCATATATATGTGTATTATAAACAATAGCAAACAACGAAGTTAAAATAAACAATCAGATGATGTAGATGTTAAATGTTAATACTGAAAATATCAGTTTTAGACACGAGAAAGTACATCAGGGATCAAATTATCTTTCCGTTTAATGTGTCTAATGTCAAGACTATATTCTTGCAAAAACAAGCTCCACCTCAACAACCTTTGATTTTTGTTTTTAAGTTTATGCAAGAAAGTGAGGGGATTGTGATCACTAAAGACAACAACAGGCAACTTTGAAGAAGTTAGATAAACTTCAAAATGCTGAATAGCAAGAATAAGAGCAAGGCACTCTTTCTCTATAGTGGAGTAATTTTTCTGATGTTCATTAAACTTTTTAGAAAAGTAACAAATAGGATGGTCAACACCATTGTTGTCTTCTTGGATCAATACACTTTCAGCACCTATGTCACTAGCATCTACAGCTAACTTAAAGATTTTATTAAAATCTGGTGCCAAGAGAACTGGTGCACTCTTAAGTATGGCTTTAAGGCTGTCAAATGCTATTTGACACTTGTCATTCCAAATGAATTTGTTTCTTTTCTTCAGTAAATTTGTCAATGGTTCTGCAATAACCGAAAAATTATTACAAAATTTACGATAATACCCTGCCATACCAAGAAATCGCATCAGTTGTCTTTTACAAGTAGGCAGAGGAAATTCAGAGATAGCTTTGACCTTAGCTTCTATTGGTTTAACTTTACCCTGTCCCACTACATGTCCTAAAAAAGTTAAAATAGCATGACAAAATTCACTTTTTGCAAGATTAACTGTCAATTTAGCATCACTAAGTCGGTCGAAGAATGCTCTTATAGTTGTGAGATGTTCCTCCCATTCATCAGAGTAGATGATTGCGTCATCAATGTATGCGTCACATCCGTGTAGCCCAGATATTACCATGTTTATAAGTCTCTGAAAAGTTGCTGGTGAGTTTTTCATACCAAATGGCATGACTTTATATTGATATAAGCCGTCTGGTGTTACAAAGGCTGATATTTCTTTAGCTCTATCAGTAAGTGGAACTTGCCAGAATCCTTTTAGAAGATCAAACTTTGTCACATACTTTGCTTTTCCAATTTTGTCAATACAGTCATCAATTCTTGGTATAGGAAATGAATCAGTTTTTGTTACAGAGTTCACTTTACGGTAATCTGTACACATTCTATATGTTCCATTTGATATCGGTACAAGAATACATGGAGAGCTGTAACTGCTTTGACTTGGTTCAATAAAGTCATTATCCAATAAATACTGAACTTCTTGTCTTAGGTATTTTTGTTTTACAGGATTCGTTCTATATGGATGTTGTTTTATTGGTTCAGAGTTTTCAAGAATGACGTCATGATGTATTTTATCAGTCCGTGTGGGAATACCAGGAAATAAATGTTCATATTCATTAATAAGCTGTTTCAGTTCATCTCGTTTCGACGGTTCTAAATGAGCAAGTTTTTCATCCAGATTTTTCAGAATATCAGAGTTTTCAAGCTTTGCTGAACCAGAATCAGACTTTTCAAAATTTTCACACCTATTAGATCCAATTGAACATTGATTTTGTGGAACAGAGTTTACAAAAGATATAGGTTTACTAATTTTGCTATCTCTATCAAAATATTCTTTTAACATATTTATGTGACACATTTGTTTTTGCTTTCGCCTCCCAGGAGTATTAATAATATAATTAAGGTCACTGACTTTCCTTTCAATAGTATAAGGACCAAAGTATCTTGCCTGTAATGGTTTTCCAGGTATAGGTAAAAGAGCAAGTACTCTATCACCAGGGTTAAAACTTCTTTCCTGAGCATTCTCATCATACCTTGATTTCATTTTACTTTGTGTTGATTTTAAATTAAGCCTAGCTAACTCACATGCATTAGTCAACCTATTTCGAAAATCTGATACATACTGAAGCAAATTTAAAGATATGTCATCTTAAGACAGGAATTTCTCTTTTAGAAGTTTTAAGGGTCCTCGGACAGTGTGACCAAATACTAATTCAAAAGGGCTGAAGCCAAGAGATTCCTGAACAGATTCTCTTACAGCAAATAACAATAAATGGATGCCTTCGTCCCAGTCTTTTTCAGTGTCAAAACAATATGACCTAATCATATTTTTCAGAGTCTGGTGAAATCTTTCTAATGCACCTTGACTTTCAGGATGATAGGCTGAAGACCTATATTGAGTTATTCCTAACTCGTGCATGACCTGCTGGAAAATACCAGACATAAAGTTTGACCCTTGATCAGACTGT